AAGATATTTTTAGGACATTTAAAGATTAGTTGTTTATGTCTTCGTTGTACCTTTCACGATATTAACCACTGCATCGCGTCATTTCTGCCTCTGAAACATCGTTTAATACTGTTTAGTATATATATTTCTCAATTTCTCAATTCTGTATAGTGTCGTTGTAAAACAATATCAATATTTTTTTATTTTATTTTTACGCTTGAAACTATCCCAAGCGAATAAAATATTGCCTAACTTTAAACCATTTTGCAAAGCCTATGCGTAAGTGACAAAAATAGCGCCAGTCATAAATGATATCAGAATGAGTCGTTTATAGTGCACTTAAACTAAACATTATACTCTTTACCGAAACAAAACATTTTTACACTTTTCAAGATCTATTATCAGTTTGTCAATATCATGTTTATTTATTCATGACAATAACTTTGATTCTTTTTTCAATTAAACTTGCCCTTTATTTCTGTCATTTTGAATATGAATATCAAACATCAATGAATGGCTCAAGTCAATTTTTTTCATTCAGACGAATAATTTAATCAATATTTATAGTATATGAAAATTAAGTTTTATGACATGCTTACTATCATTTTTTACCGAAAAGGCTGGATATTAGATTGAGGTATATCGGCGGGCGGGCGGTCCTAAACAATTTCTTCTTTGTAAAAATCCCATTACATTTTCAAAAGATTTTGACCTAACTTTTACCAAGTGCCCTTGTACATATTGTTGCAGGTTAGTGATAACATAAGTTTGACCTAATTTACTCTTTTTATCATAACTACTTCATTTAATCTAAGTTTATAGAGTTACTGAAAGAAACCCAGTTGCCTTTTTCATAATTATAGTTTTTGGCCCTAAAGAATTTTGTCCCAAAGTTGAAGTGTTTTACGATTTAAACATATTTTTTTTCAGAGTAATTGCCCTTTTTCCACATATTTCATAGATAGAGAAATACTTCTATGTACAAGTTTACTACTCAAGCTATAATTAAAGATTGAAATTTTATATTTTCCCTTGTCATTCATCGTATGATATCACTGCAAGAGTTATTGCAGTTTCAATAACAATGAGACCAACATTTTGACAGATTTACATTTTTCAGTCTAAATGTTTAAGACATGATCAGGACATATTATAGTTATTAATAACCGGTTCCATTTGCTAAATGAATGCATACAAATGTTTTCTTGTAGTAAAATAGCAAGATCAAAAAGGCGACAATTTGTATTCAGAAATCACATATTGCAAACTGATTTTATTCAACAGTGTAAGGCAAAGAAGCATTGGAATAACACGCAGTGGTGATACTATTTCATTTCTTTTGTTTTGCATGGTAAAAAAAAATGATACTGTTACGCTAAAAATATAGCACAGAGTAAAAAAATCCGTCATGCAAAACATTGTTACCTAACTTAAATAGATAAATCAATACATTGTTTCCATTCATTCTTGCTACTAGCCTTTGAAATCTTTTGTTAAAGTATTTCACTTTTAAGAACATGTGTACTATTAAAATTTACATGCTTATCAGATCTGTTTGAATAAGGCAATCATGTTTACCAGTATTCAAGAAACTTTTTTATAAAACGTTTTATATAATACATCATGCTTCTTACCCTTTAGTAGGGAGGGCGGTGTTATGGAAACGAGCTTCTGTCAGCTTAATGGAATTGTTTCGTTCTTGATATAATCTTAGGAGAGAGGGGATTTACTCTGACAAGGTCCATGAAATCCATGATATCTTAACTTTTAATTGTATTCTATTTTCTATTTTGAATTCATTTTCACATCATTATAGCAAATCAAGACAAATGTACATGGTACTCTGTTTTGAAGAGCTATCATGTTCTTTTCTCTAATCAAAGGCAAACAAGAAACATTATGGGTTACTCCTCCCGAGACATAGGGTTTGCATTGGGGGTGTAAGATGCATGGATGAATTGTCGCATTGTGATTTGCTTAGTCCTTAACGTAAGTATCAAAAAGAAATTTTAAAAATGACATTGTGTGTTGACTGCTTTCCATTCTTAACCCTTCTGCTGCAAAGCAAAATATCAAGCTATTATAACGGCTAAGATGGTGTTGTTATTGTTTGGATTGTGAAAAAAAAACTTGAATGTTGTCCATCACGCAAATAGTTTAAATGTTATGATGATGAAGTTATTGAAATACTTAGTTTGAGACAACGAAGAATTGCTTTTCCAGCAAAAAATATAAGCTGAATGCCGCTTTTATTGACATATCTATATACAGATAAAAAATAAAGGGAAAAATATAATTAACTGCCTTATATTTCATATCCAAGTTATCACATAGTCTAGGATAGAACACATTTTTTGTCAGTTTTTTCTTTCACACAATTCAGGTATGTGAATTTTTCATAAGATTATCAAAAGCCTGTTTTTCAATCATATTTTGTCTTTTTAACATACTCTGAAGTTTTGGTTGTCTTTTTCTTATAATATCACGAAAAAATGTTTCGCATCCAATCAATCTTTAAGTCATATAGTCTATGTAATTTTTCAAGGTGTTCAGGAGAAGGAAAAACTTTCCCAGTTCTTACATTTTTATAAAGAACGTCGAAGCAAGAAATGCCGCATAGAATAGTTTTACGCCAGAATATTGACATACTACAGTATGTGACTTAAAGATTGGATGCGAAACTATTCTACGTAATATTATAAGAAAAACAAGTTTTTGTAATATCATGGTTAAAACAGGCTATAAAGTCATACATGCTAAAGCTAAATATTACCATTAATACTGATTTGCTAAATGTTCAAAATCCTAGTGTAGGCTGTTATATCAAACCTATTATTATTACAAATAGCAATAAGGAATACCTCTGTGAAACTTTTTGTTAGAAATACATATGTACAAACAAGTAAGGAAAAATGGAACACATACTTCATAGATAAATATATAAGGTGGTCATTGATATATTATAGATATGTATTTAGATGTAACAAATATTCATACATTCCGTGGTTGCAGACTAGAATAATTCACAGCAACAAACTCACTTTTTAAAAAAAAATGAACATTGTTGATAATAAAAAGTGTACTTTCTGTGACTGTCAAGAAGAAACACTTCCACATTTATCTTGGGAATGTCATAAATTCTGTCTCTATTTCAATATTTGAAAAGTAACAAACATATTTTTGACAATATTTTCAACGGTAAATTTGTTTATTGTATGTTCCCTAGATGAAGATTTCGAATATGACATATTGTTTATACAAGATTGAAATAAATAAATAAAGAGAAAAAATGTTACTCACATGTTATGGCTTAAAAAATAGCTTAAATAAGCTTGGACTATTTACAAAATACCAATTTGACTAACACTGAAATTAAAAGATGGCAAATTGTAAGATATTTACTTGAATGAATTACACTGACATTCTATATTTATGTGTTTTTAAATAAGTTATAACCCTGTGTGAAATAGACTTTTTTCTCTCATACCTACTACAGAGTTAATAAAGGGGGTTACCAAGTTGGGGGCAAAATATGCCATAATTATAGTCTTTGTTTATAAAGAGATGTCTATCATATTTAGTAGGAAGATAACGTGCATGGTGTTCTTCCTTTCGATTGAGTTTCGGGTCAGTGAATAAAAGTCAAGGGTGTTAACAAAATATTTCTATACATTTGCCTAAGTATAGTTTAAACTGCTTTTATTTTTGACCGATGTTCTTCATATTTGAAAGGATGCTACCTTGCATACTTGCATCATATTTGGTAGATTGATTATTCGCATGGTATTCTTCGTTTCGATTGAGCTAGTGATCAGGGGAGACAAAAATATTTCTATACATTTGCTTAAGCATGGTTTAAACTGCCTTTATTTTTGAATGATGTTTTTGTTTTTCATTTTTGAAAGGATGATACCTTGCATCATTTTGATTGAGTTAGGAGTCAGTTAGATAAAGGTCACTAGTGCTCATAATTGATTCCATATAGCCTTAATTAATGAACAGATGTCTTTGATATTCAGTAGGAAGGGATCTTGCATAATCTCCCTCCTTTGGATTGCTCTAGAGCTCAGTTGGTCAAAATAGAGGTCAAGGGTGCCAAATTAGATTTTTACGCATTGCCTTTATTTATAGATTGATATTTTTTATCATATTTCGAAGGATCATTGCTGGGAGTTACAAGGTCAATATAACTTGTGAGAACAATAGATTTTTTACACTTTTTAGACAGACACTGTATTTACAAATGTCTCATTTTTACAAGGAACATACTTTAGGGCAGCCTTTTAGTTCGGATGGAGTTTTGGGTCACTGGGTTCAACGTCAAGCCTTGCAGTTATATTTATTTGATGAAGTTGATTATTTTTCAACTTCATCACAAGTCATGGCAATGCCTTGCCAACTTATTTTTCACAATTACAAAATGTGATGACTCTGTCAAGTAATATAATGTGTATACAATTTTGGGGCAAATTTTCTGTCCGTAACTGCGTGAATTGATAAACATGTTTTTAATATTGTTACTGACGATGGTCTGAGCCGGGGACTTTTGTGTTTAACAAACACGTTCTTGTTTTATTTTTCGAAGAATAAAATAGTAAATAGGCATTGTCGGAGGCGGAAATATTTTGATTTGTTTTCCTTTTTATAAGCTTATCTCAATTTTGATCAATTTGGTTCCAAATAAATAAAAATGCATTTTATCGCCGGTTGGGTATATTCCTTAGTTTTATATATATATGAAAGCACTCGCTCACATTTGTGAAAATAAAATTGCACAGGACTTGCTGGATCGAGAGTGTTTATAAACTTAAAGCCTTCTTTACAATCAAACTCAGAAAATTTGTAAAATTATTTGATCATTGTTAATCTATCATGTTAACAATTGGAAAACAGGTATTAAACTGTTATTGTTTAAACACAACATGAATGAGAAAAATAACGAACATGAAATTCATATCAATCAATGTACTAGTGTATATTACAGTGAATGAAATTATGAATCTCTGATTGTACACCGATGATCAGGATCATGCGACATTAAACATTAAATTTATGCAATGCAATGTACAGAATGCTCAAAAGAAAAAAAAGCCTGAGTAACGTTACACAACATAAGGATAATGCGTCGTTACATTGTCATTTGCGCAAAAGATATCTAACAAAAATCTATTATAATGCCATTCTTAAAATGCAAGAACCTAACAAATCAAATAAAAACAGTCGTATAAATAAACTTTTTTAAAACGTGACTTTCTACTCTATGTTATATTTTATTAACACTTATAATCATATTCCTTTAAACGGGTGGCGTCCATTTCTTCTGTACTGGACGTCATGCCCAAGCGGCTTTATCATCGTCATATAATCATCATTTATAATAATCATCATATCCTTACATAATCGCTTCAAAATAGCTTACACTCCGTTTGTTGCCATTATAGCGTACATACCGTTTGTTGCCATGAGTGATTACTTTCCGTTTTCATTATATGTACATTCTGTTCGTTGCTATTATAGCTTTCATTCCGTTCTTTGCCATTATAGCTTTAATTCCATTTCATTCCATACGTTGCCATTATAGGTTTAATTCCTTAATGCCAGTTTTCGGCGACGATACATAACAACAATTATAATAATTAACAGTACAGAACCGGTGCCTATTGGTAAACCAACAGCCAGACCAATGTTCACATCTTGTTCATCATTTGATGCAGAATTTTGATGTCCATCTACAATTAATAAATGAAACGTATTACTGTTAAGACCAAATTCTTTTCTATTTTGGAAGCGATTATGTATTTTTTTTTAAATTTTGTGGCTGGTTAATTTTAAAGATGCTATATAAATGTTTGAATAAGCCACATTAGCAATCACTTTTGTATTCATTATAATAACAAAAACAGAAAGAAAACACGAAATAAAAACGACCTAAGATGCATACAGAAAGGAGCAAATTATTACTTCTTTAGAAGGGTGAACATGAGCTCTACAACAATTAAGTAATGATTTTAGAACATGTTAGATACTTGTTACTTGAAAAAGTAGCGGTAAATCTGAAATTATTTTTCATAAAATGAACAATGTAATTGGTTTTTGGAAACTAGAAAATAAAAACTTTTGAGAAATAGAAATAAAATAATTAAAGCATTTCTAGGGCATAATCGGTCTTTAAGTTATTATAACAAGTCGAAAACTATTTAACCACCGTTTGAACGAATCAAAAGTATTATAGTAAAATATTTTTAAAAGTTCGAAAATGTTGCATGTTGTATATAAAATTGATAGTACCAACCGAATAATCCATATGTTCTTGACAAATTGAGTATGACAAGGCTGGCGTTGCCGGTGACTTTATGCAGGATATGTACTTGTAAAAAGTATTTTTTGCTTGACTTAACAACAGGTACAGTAAGTGTGCTAGATAAGCGGACTACTTCTTTTCCACCACATATACTATCTGTACAAACATATGTCTCTTCTGTTTCGTTTGCTAAACTCTCTTTGTAGAATATTGATTCTTCCCTGTCCTATATTTATAAAAATTGTTTCATTAATTATTATTATTATAATTATTATTATTTTTATTATTATTATTATTATTATTATTATTATTATTGTTATTGTTATTGTTATTGTTTATTTTCTTTAACTAAGAATGGCATATTCATAAAATATTACACATATACTTAGATATGTTTACTAGACATGTTAATTTGTTTAGGAACACATAATAATATTGAATAAATATATGTGTCAGTATTTGTATCACACTGGTTATAAATGCTAAGAATATACTTAAAAAAAATTTTTGTTAAACTTATCCATTATATAATTATTGTTGACTTATATTCTTATCACACAAGACTACTTCTAAAAAATCACTTGTATTTTAATTGTATTTATAGTCCAAATATAATGTTTACACTCTCTAGAAAATTCATCTCTAAATGATGTCACAAATGCAAGGAAATAACCGATATTTCGAAACAGATACTTCATGTAGTCACTGGGGCTTAAGTGGAAATCAATATCACAAGTATGAATAAAATCTGGGTAAGGTGGTGAGTCAAATACGAACGGTAAGCTTTAACATAAATAAGCACACAAACGGATAAAAGGAGTACAATGTTTTAAATATATTGTGATTAATATCCAAGTCTCATTACTCGGTTTATATAAATGTTTTAATTGATGCTGCTCATATTTTCAATATTTGGCCCGACGTTATAGAAACCTGACCTGTTTAAAAGTCAATAACCTTGTAGTACATTTCAAAGCCTTCATTATAACACATTACAGTATTTTTGTTTTTCAAAGTTTCAGTATCAAATTCATACAGTACACACTGCCTTTAGATATTAATTTAATACAGAAATGTAATTTTGTCTTACATAATAACAATCATGGTTGGTGAAAAAAAAACCATGTGTTTCACATTTTAACCATGTTTTGTGGCAATTTGTTCCTGTTAATCTATTTTTACTAAACAATTTTTATGTAACAATGAATAATTGTATTAATTTAGAGATTACTGAATAATCATTTGATTACAAGAATAATTAATGACAATACTTTAACATTACTTTTACTGATATTTTCAGGAATGTAAGCAACCATCATTTTGAATTGACTTTTTGAAGGTCAAGGTCCACCCTAATGTATGCGATAATGGCCCGAAGATGTGCATAATGGCCTGAGGGCCGCAGGCCCTAGAAATATTATGGATTCGAGCGTTTAGACACCGCCGCTAATCTTGGTTGGCGCCCTTTCTAAGAAACAAACAGTTGTCAATGTAAACAAATAACCGTCATTAAGTTAAACCCTTCGAATAACTTAAAAAACATGATCACACAAAATAAATATGATAAAATGTTGTTTAATTGTCATTTATGTTGATAAACACGCTTTACATGTCTTTGTGAGAATAATGTTTAGTGCCAGATGTTTTTATGAACCTGTTTGCTTTAAGAAAGGTTATACTGTCAAGCTAAATATCCCCGGTATTTTTTTACCTTCAATCTGAGGTTATTTTTGGAATTTCTGAGGGTCATGTTTTGTCTACTGCAGTAATTGAATATTTTCTAAATTCTATAAATCTTCAATGTTCAGCTTTGTTGATCACGATTGATTATGCCATCTAAACATAAAATTTTGTGTGCAAGTGACAATCGTTAATTCAACGACAGCAGCCATCGTGATAGTCACTGAGGGTTGATGACGTCATTTTGCATGTGCGTTCATTCACTCGCCCATTATGGAAAAATAATGCCGAGTAGCAAGGCGGCCAAGATTGCATAATGACCTTAATTTGCAATAATAGCCTTGAAATATCCTAGATGTTGCTACTATATATAGTACATGTAAAATAGATATTAAAATTAATTAAATTAATTTTTATTTTATTAACAACAAATGCAAAACTCGTGATATTGTCATCGTCATCACACACACACACACGCACGCACGCACGCACGCACGCACGCACACACACACACACACACACACACACACACAAACGTGTTAAACTGCCGATAAACACTGGTTAGGGACTACATTATTATGCGGCTGTTATTTTTGATAATATAGTCAACACATTTTTTACTTATTTTTTGTATTTATATTATGATAATATTATGTTATAAATGTGTAAAAAAGAGCAATAAAATATGTTTAAATCAAACAAATTTTTTAAGACAACAATTATAAAGCAATTCAATTTATAGTTTCCCACAATGTTGTTTTTGCATATAATGTACAAAAATATCTAACATACACTACCACCACAGGTTTGATCCATATCAGTTCATAAAATCTATTTTACAAATCGGCACTAATTAGTTAGCACCTTAATGACGCCATCGTGACAAGAATGATCAATCAAACACTGATGTAAACACAATACAATCAAGTCTGACGTGAAAGTTTTAATTACTAAAAACTTATTAGAAGAACTTTGCTTTCTTATTAATTAGGCCGTAGGCCTGAGTGGTTAATTTTTTCGCATCATAATATCTCTTAGATAAAGCATACATTTCTTAAAAATAATATACACAAGCGCCCACACTAGCACTTAATGTGCAATTATTAGCCGTTAATGCAACGAAATGAGGACAAAGTAGTTCTTTGACTTCCATGCAAAATACTAACTTACTTTAAGTGTCATAAATCACAAAAATAAACAGGAACAAAAGAGGGTAATATAATTTGTATATGAACAACTTTATGGAAATTTAAACAGTGTTCCAAAATCATAAGCTTTTAAGAGATAGTTAAATAGACAAAAAAATATTTCCTGTACATTTCCCGGGCATACAAAGTATTCACAACAACGCTCCCTTTGGCTTTTAGAAATGGAAATAAATTTTTTTTTATTTTTCTGATTTGTGATAGACGCTTAATAATTTCAGTTTGAAGGCTCACGATAATAAGTTTTGGACAATTAAAGATCCTGTAGCTCAAATTTGTTTATGGTTTTATATAATAAATCTGATGCTCAAATGAAGATATATCAATATTGAAAGTTCAAAAAAGCATTATTTGTTAAGATATTACCGAATCTACATTTATGTAAATTAAGGGGGGTAATTAGAAATACATTTTTGATAAAGTGTAAGCCAAAATTTTCATTAAGAAATGAATGCATATATTTTAATGGTTACTTTTAATGGGAATAAACATATACGGTGCATATTTAACATATTCTCCGATGTTTGAAAATTGTTTTAGAAGAATAATTATCGTATACATATATAAAATTTCAAGTGTTGTTACATCCTTACTTCCAACATATAGACTCGTTAAATAGTTTAGATGTGCTCTTTAATAGCAGTTTCATTTGTAAGAATCTTCCACGACTTCCACAAAAAACAACAACATTCGTGTAGCTTAAAGGCAACAGTTTCCGTAAAAGGGAGAATTTTTATGATTGTAATAAAAACTTAGATAAAACCTATCGGTTAAGATTTCCGACTTCAATGTCTGACCATGCGACTTTTTTGCCGTTAATGATAAAGAACTGCTATCTCTTGAACCAATTGTAGCAAATGTACTCATATAAAGTCATTTATGACTGCGCTTTCGTATAGTTAATCTATCTGACTCATGACTCATTTATATACCGTAACTGTTCAAAAAACTGTTTATTAAATGTTAACATAACATTATTTTAAGTCATAAAGCAAAACATAATAATACCTCAAAGTAATACCAACGAAATAATATTTCAGAGCTAGGATACACACATCCTCCGAATGCGACAAGTTTCACAGCATCTGTACTGTTATCAGGTAATTCCGTTATACTTGATGCATTTTGCTCTGGAAGAACTGGAAAAAGAAAATGTAATATTTATTTATGTAAAAGTTGCCGCCAAGACAATAGTAATTTAAAGATTTAAAGATGTTCCGTTTTAGTTTATCTTCACAGCGATACAGTAAGATCTATTAAACGCGCATGAAATAAATTGATCCATATTTTCGCACTGTCCTTAATTTCTTGTTTGTTTGATTGGGTTTTGTGACACGCCGACACAGTATAAGTCATATGGCAATATTCCAGCTTTACTGGTGGAGTGGCAATCCGTGAATTATTTAAATCAGGAACGGGCACCTGAGTAGAACCACCGACGTTCCGTAAGCTAGCTAGATAGCTTCCTCACAGGAAAGAGTCCAAAGTCCCTGTCGGGATTCGAACCAACAGCGGTGAGGGGCAAATGGTTTGAAGTCAACGACCTTAACTACTCGGCCACGGACGCCCCGAACTTCCTTCGAAATAATATATACAAACAATTCAGTCTTAAATGTCGATGAATATCATAACTTATTTTAACTGATGGCATCTGCTCATAATCCGATCCATCATCGCATTTTATATTTGTACCGTTCATATTAAAGTTTACTTCTGGAATTATCATGGTGAACGTTCCGTTACTCGTGTCATATAAAAATTCTAATTCTCCATGTCTGAATGGCGGATTTTCCTCACATGTTGATGACACACAAGATGCTACAATATCAGAATCTACAGACCACGTCATTGTTAACTTATATGTTGGTATATAACATATGATAGTCGCCTTGGATCCACATTTAAATGTACCTGTCTTTCCGAGACTTCCTGGTGCTGTAAGCGTGAGTGCGTTACATATATCTGTAAGCATGAGCTTATAATACAGAAAACATAAAAAAGTAGTGCATTTAACATTGTAATGAAGTTTTAGGCATTTCAGAAATTTTAAATCTACACCAAATGTATGTAATTAATACATTTTATACACTTTGGAATAAATTAGAACGGAAGATAAATATCTCTTCTTAGTTCCTTATATGTTTACATACAAAATAAAATGTCATCATTTATGTGTATGGAATGACAATCAGCAGGGTTTAAGCCGTTTTATAGTAACAGTTACAAACACATGCATTACAATTATATGTATTTGACTGAAACAACAGGTGCGCCATGATTCTTATATCTTTAATACATTTGTTACGTTTATTGTCATCGAAATACACTCAATAAAAATATCGATTTCATGTATCACATAAGAATGTATTTAATTGTGTAACAAGAAACAAAAAATCTTACCAAAGCAAATCCAGACAAGACAGAATGATGCACTCTTATCCATCGATACCCGTGTGACTAAAACAATTATTGGCTTCAACTAAATATATGACGATATGCTTGTTATCAATTATACAGTACGTATTTAACAACTAAAACGATTACACTTCCAAAAGTCTTATTCCATAGTAATGCTGGATATATTCAACACTTTTATGTGATCTTTATTTAATGAACAAGCACACTAAATATTTTGATAAAAACACGCAGTCATGCATTCTTACGACCAATTTATTGATTTAAAATATCTTAAATGTTACATTCAAACTTGGTTCTACTGTCAGGTAGGTAAACGATAAAAACTTATAGGGAGTGTACACTTAGCCTTGTAAAGATAAAAGTTGTTTATCTCAATGCATAGTTTATAAAAAAACATTGTTAATCTGTCATAACAGAATCGTTTTTATATTTTAAACAAAATCTTAGGTAAGCCAAATTTTGATTATTGCATTCGTGTGTAAACTGAGTTTAGCTCTTGTTTTGCAATTTTGTTTTAAATGGTGTCAAACCTGAAGGATGTCAGAACTTTTCTCTTTTAAATTTCAAATAGTTTCATACTGTGTTGATAATACAACACATGAAGCAGAATTACCGTAATCCGTGTTTATAACGTTATCTACCAGTACCAGATTACCAGTAGAACTGTTCTTGTATATCTTGATTTAATAATCAAGGAATATTGTAATGAAATGAAATAAATGAAATGTAAACAAATCTTCTGACTCTTTCTAGTGGTAATACAGCCACTTATCTTATGTCATATGAACATCAAAAAGAGGTTGAAAATACTGTTTGTACAATTAAAGTTCCTAAGTTTTAACTAAATAACTCGCCGTTTGATACTTACGTCTTTTATTTTCAGTATTTGTTCATCGTGTTGGCGATATTTCATGTCCAAGCTTTTTTTCGAGGGAAAACTATGAAACATCACGATGGTTATAAAAACTTAAAAGCAATTACACTAACTAAAAATAGAATTCAATGCAGGATATAGATAATTTATGAATAAATTATCTTTTGCCGGATCTAGGAAATAAAATACACGGTATAACTAATACATTGTACATGTTGGACCTAGAAATTACAAGGTCGCTCAATACTGTGACAAGCTTGAGTTGATAGGCATGATAAACTTTATTTAAACACAATAACTCTTTTTGTAGACTGCGAAGGCGAATACCAGGTATTCTATTTATAGAATCAACGTTTATCTTCCTTGTTATTATCGTTAGGTTAATATAATCTTTAACTGCAAAATCAAACTATCCCGCTGAACAAATTGTTTGAGTTAGTAAAATGAATTTCGAAATGCATACCTCTGAGGTTTTTTCAAAAGTCGGGTAGTAAACACATTATTTTAGGCTTTTGTGAATTACCAATGGCTTGATAGTTTGACCAAAATCAAGTGTATCTAGTATCTTAATTTTAAAATATTGTCCTCGGCCCCCACTATTACAAACGCGTATTAGCATTTTCTAAACTATATCGATATATTGGGATAAGAATATTTGGAAATGACCATATTTCATTTAAAATCTCTGACAAAGGTCGAAAAAAATATCATCAGAGTGGTTTTTAGATCACCTGGAGCTTTTAGGATCGTCTCTCGTCCGTCCACACTTGTTCGTTAACACTCTAGCGGTCAGATTTTTGCCTCAATCATCATCAAACTTCGTCAGGATGCTAATCTAGTTGATAGCTCGGATGAGTTCGAACATGGGTCATCTCGGATGAAAAACTAGCTCACAGTAGCTAAAACTAGAAAAACATTGTTAACACTCTAGTGGTCACATTTTTGACTCAATCATCATCAAACTTTGTCAGAATGCTTGTCTATGTGATAGCTCAAATGAGTAAGAACATGGGTCATCTCGGATGAAAAACTAGGTCACCGGAGCTCAAAATAGAAAAATCTTGTTAACACTTTAGCGGTCACATTTTTGCCTCAATCATCATCACACTTGGTCAGGATGCTTATCTAATTGATAGCTTGGATGAGTTTGAACATGGGTTATCTCGGATGAAAAACTAGGTCAAAGAAGCTAAAAATAGAAAAACCTTGTTAACGTTCTAGCGATTACATTTTTGATTGAATCATCATCAAACTTTGTCAGGATGCTTGTCTAGGTGATAGCTCAAATAAGTACGAACATGGGTCATCTCGGATGAAATACTAGGTCACCGGAGCTAGAAATCGTGATACCTTGTTAACACTCTAGTGGTCACATTTTTGCCTCAATCATCATCAAACTTTGTCAGGATGCTTGTCTATGTAAAAGCTCAAATGAGTTCGAACATGTGTCATCTCAGATGAAAAAGTAGGTCACCGGAGCTAAATATAGGAAAACATTGTAAACATTCTAGCGGACACATTTTTGAAACAAGTGTCATTAAACTTGGTCAGGATGCTTGTCTAGGTAATTGATATCATGATTTAGAACATGGGTCATCTCGGATGAAAAGCTAGGTCACAGGAGCTAAAAATAGAAAAAATCTTTTTAACACTCCAGTGGCTACTGTTTTGATCCTAATATCCTGTAAATTAGTCTGAAAGTTTGTTTTGATGATTTCTAGGTCAAGTTTGAATATTGGTTACCTGGGTCAAAAACTAGGTCACACTGCCCAAATATGGAAAAACCTTGTTAACATTCCAGTGGTCACATTTTTTATTCAATTATCATCAAACTTGGTCTGGATGCCTGTCTAGGTCATTGCTCGGATGAGTTTGAACATGGGTCATCTTGGATGAAAAACTAGGTCACCTGAGCTCAAAATAGAAAAATCTTGTTAACACTTTAGTGGCTACTGTTTTGATCCAAGTATCCTGGAAATTGGTCTGAAAGTTTTGTTTTGATGATTTCTAGGTCAAGTTCCAATATGGGTCACCTGGGAAAAAAACTAGTCACACTGCTCAAATATGGATAATTCTTGTTAACATTTTTGACTCACCTGTCATGAAACTTGCTTGTCTAGGTAATTGTTCGGATGAGTTCGATGGGTCAGGTGAGCGATCTAGGGCCATCATACCCCTCTTGATTTTTCATTTGATTAACAGTAGGTCATGTTTAGATATATCACTATTAGGTTTTGCGAAATTTCTGAGTGGCTAACGTGTTGAACTTGTAATATAGCGGTGTAAGTTCAAGTACCGTTGTTTGCCTGAGCAAGAAACTTTACACAAACTTATCAGAATGTGTTGGTTTTGGATTATTTTCGAGAATGTGTTTATAAGTCTAAAGCTTCCCACACTCTCGAACTAAATTTTCTGTTTAAATCATTGTAAAATAATATGTGTATAAACTTAAAATTACACTTAAATATGATTTATACAAATTTTAAAGTTTAAAGGGAGCGCATGTAATGTACGTCAGCGGCATGTCATATGACAAGATTGTTAGAGTTATGCCCCTGGTAGATGTGTATAATATCATAACACCATGTATTAACTGTTTGGAATTTAACTGATGAAGAAAGAAAGGGAAAAAAGAACAATTAGAATGAACGTTTATTCTAGTAGTTTTTAAATGTATATATTTCAATGCATTTCTGCTAATCCATGGTGTTTTTATTTATTATTTCATTTTTTTTAAATGAAAATAATTGCCTTCAGATATGAATTGTCTATTAACGCACTGTAAATTTACATCTCAATATATGAGCTTCCCCTAAAATAAAAACATAGAGGGAGATATTGTACTTTTCGTTATATTTCATAATAAGTTAAGAATCAAGTCAAATACACAATTTGCATGAAAAGTTCTTGATTTTATTTGGTATTGAATTTCCCATCACTTTTGTCCATAGACCACTTTTGTTACTCTACAATTAGCAAACATTAACAAGAGACTGTTAAAATATACATTAAATTTTGTATTTAAATCATATTGTTATTTTTATAAAAAATAATTTTAATAGCTTATATAGGTTATCTGAGACAAGGGCCTTATCATTGACAAATTGACGTTGTAAGATATTCAAATAGTTATAGTTTTCTTTAATTGTAATCAATAGTAAAGATTACAAAATTTCTTTCTTTATTTCTAGCGAAGACAGATTGGCTTAAACATCCTTAAATGCAGGTGAAAATTCAGTTTAAAGAAGGAAGATAAATTCCTGATAAAGCATAAATATCGCATTGGACAAACATAAACAATATTGGTGACCCTTGTCTGTCGTTATGAAATGGTAATAAATCAATGAAGATTTAATGTTCCGTCATGGAAACATTTTCTGCCATTTTTTGTTTTCAAGTGCATGTCAAATAATATTAACAGCTTTGACATGTTTTTTTGCCTTGTTTCACATACTTAAAGTGTCAATATTTATTTTATTATTGTTTTGAAAATATTAAAATAAAACCAAAACAAAAAGGAAAAAACAACAAAAAGGGAAAAACGCACCCAAGCACCAACGCATACACACACACACGCACCAACACACACACACACACACTTTTGTGGATGATTCTTATTTTTTCCTGTACCGTACATGTTATGGCTGAATCAAATCAAGTCTACAACGTTTTCTTTTTTACAGTTACATGTACATACGTTCTTTATGGAATCTTTTTTAAAAAATCAATTTGACTTAGCCTGTCAAGGACGTTAGATGGAATTAAAGTATATAACCGTTTAAATGTTACCCACCACCTGAAGACAGCATGAATAAGTTTAGTGGGAAATTTTATTTTTTTACGTACATAGGGCTGTAATCATAGAACCTTCAGCGAAACACATACGTGACATTAACAAACAAGGCGATGCATTGTTCTTAACTACAAACAATATCAGTTATATATTTGTAAAACAGTAATAGTAGCCAATGACCATGTATTGATACAGATTTATCATACTTTGAGCGCTTAGTTCAAAATGTATCATAACAACTCGAATGTAATAATGTGTTACAGAACACTCTCACCTAGATAAGGTAAAAGAAGGAAAATATTAAATTAAGTTCCGCGAAATGAAAAATAAATATACAGACGCGCTTTTATCGAAAAGTTGTCAAAAACTCATATTGGAACAATTTCAAAAGTTAACTTGTACGGTATCTGTTCTGTTTTGGAAATTGATTTGTTATGGATATATTTATCAAGTTTTGTACATTGTTTTTGTTTTTGATGGCATTTTCCAAAGGTAAGAAGCAAACTAAGTCTACAAAGTTGAATAAAAATTCATAAAGAAATAACAATTGCATTATAAACATGATTTAAATTTTCATGCTTTTTTGACTTTTTGATCCAAAAATAGTTATTATCGTAGATTTTTCTCCTCATAAAAGTAACATACATTTAGACTCTAATTACTGTAACAATTTATTATCAGAAAATGAATAAAAATATCTGTTTTGTTGGAATTCAATTAATACAGATACTGTCAAGGGGAACGGTGACTTTCAAATGTACAAGCAGAGGAAACGGCAGGAGTTCCATCCTTTTATAAAATATTTAGCTAGCGTCTTCACATGAACGTATCAATAGTTTGAGAGTTGATTTGAACCAACAGTGGTGAGGAGCAAGTGATTTTAAGTCGGCAACCTTTACCACTCGGCAAAAGATTATCATCCTTTAAAATTATTAAATTATACAGATCATATAATCGTTTTACTAATGGTTAGTGCTTGTTAATCCTATGGAAATGGTCATTGCTTCTTTTTAAAATATGTTTTATCATTCTGCATTTGTACACCTACTTTATATTTTACCAGGTGAACTAACTGGTGGAATTCTTATACAGCCAGAAATAAACGACGACGTAGAAAATAGTTCTGTCTCCTTCAGATGCATGCTGCACAGCACAAATGTTTCAATTGTATCATGGATACCGGGAGGCTTGGGATATATCTGTAGTTATAATCAAACTTGTGACATTGTCTTATCAAATTCGAAAAATTGGAGATACACTTGTACATGTCAAAATATTAAACAGGACAAACTCTCTGTTGAACTTCAAATTCACAATATAACAGAAAAAGATCATAATACTAACATGACTTGTGAGGCTACTTTAAAATATAAATTTCTTAGAGCGAGCGCATTGCTCTTAGTAAAAGGTGAGTGCAATAAACAATCTATGTTCGTAGTTAACTGTGTCGCGTTCAGGTGTGTGATACCAAAATTTTTTTAATATCTCATTTATAGTTTTACTGTTGTTTTTTTTTTCTTCATAACATTTTGTAAAATTAAAAAGAATATGTAAATAATTGTATGAATCTTAAAGTACCGTTTTCCTTTTTTCATGGCAGTTCCTGTCAAATCAGTCGAAGTAATGCCAGCTGTAAAAATGGTACAAATATCAGAAAATTCGAGCTTTGAATTTACATGTACGACTTCTATGAGTCGCCCTGTTCCTAAAATACAATGGCTCATTGCGAAAGAAAAAGATGATGACAATTATGTAATCTTAGAGGGAAAACGTGCCAATCCAAACACCACAGTTAAAGAATTGTCGTATGCAAACAGCACATTACTATATATGCCAAATAGAACAGTAAATGGCTGGATGATATTCTGCTCAGTAGAAGAGGCAGATGAACAGAGTAAAGTACAATCTAGTGCAATTAAATTGAATATCACATGTAAGTAATAAGATAATTTATCACATTTTTATCAAAACGTTGTTTGGACTTTAATCATGATTTGACGAACAAACTGAAAACAACAAAAAAATATTTATAAACGTAAAATTAACTATTATATAAAGAAAAAAACTGGAAATGTCAGTGTCTTAAATTTATCGCAGCACATTACAGTTCTATTAACTGAAACAAATGCGTATTATTTTAGACCCGCCAGAGTCGCGATTAATGATAAATGGAATGTCCACTGAGGGCGTATATAAGGTAATAGAAAATAGCACTGGAATATTGAACTGTACAGTTGAAGGAGGAAATCCACAACCAATGATCTCATGGACAAAATGCGTTGAAACGGAACAACGTACTGCAAACTATGCAAATGAATTAACGGAAATATACTCAGAGATATTAAGATGGAAAGCCAAATCTTATACAGATACGAAATGTACATGTTTTTGCACGCATATGGAGCAAAATCAGTCGTTGGCCATCGATGTTGAAATTCTCTGTAAGTAAAACAAAAGTGTCCACAAGATATGTCGTTACAAATGTAAGTCATTTAATTTCTTACGCCGGGCATATGTCCAATACCGTTTTCGACGAAAGAGTCTTTTTAACAGGGATAAAGATTGATGCGTGTTGAAGTAAATTATCATTTCTTCACTTAATTTAGTGCAAACTATGTAAATCGATATTCTTAATAATAATTATTATGTTTGAATGTAAATAAGTTAAAATTTTCTTGAGTTGTATTACAAAAAAATGCATTACTTAGGCATGTAAGAATGGATAAATGAATGTATTAAATTTGCGTTGCAGCACCATAAGGCATTGTTTATTGTCTAAAATATTTGTTATCACTTAGGCAAACAAGTATTCTCGATATCATTTCACATGAGTACAAACATTCTTAATTACATTTTTCTCGAGAATATGCAGAATCATTAAATGGGTAAAATGAATTTGTACAAATGAAGCCAGAGTTCTTTCTTATTATTAAGTTACATCAACAATTTAAAAAATAGATCTTAACAATCGATTACATTATAAACAATTTCATAGATGATATACCAAATGTGTTATTATAGAATTTACCGTACTTAACTCAAGTGTAAGTTTTAATTGATGTGTTGTTACAGATCCACCCAGTCTTCCAACAATATCATTTGGTAACCAAATCATTACAAATAACATTTCGGTTTTAATAAATACATTGCTGTCATTAAATTGTACCAGTGATAGTGAACCTGCTGCCACATACCAATGGCTGTTTAACAATGTTTACATGTTGGACGAGCAACCTTATGTGATACAATCATACAAATCAGATCATGGAAATTACACATGCTTAGCAACAACAATAATGGACCCAACACATGCAGAGAAACAAAGTGTTACCATGAATACATCTTTTCAGCTACAGGTTCTGTGTGAGTACAAAAACTTGTAACATTCTTTAAATTAATTATCTGTAGAATTAAAATCATGTAATTTGTAAAATTTGTATTTATTGTTTTGCTAGTGTTATGATTATGCTTATTGATAAAACTGCAATTATATAATTATACAAATGAGTGTTAATGGTTTACTTTCATTGTGGTGTTACGCATAACATACCCTAACAGTAAAACCTTCTTGTCAAAACATAAAAAACGTTAGTGTATTAGGAACACATTTTATCCTATACACTTAATAGGAAAAATTTCAATGTCTTTTCACTTTACTTAAATGATATTTTATATCCTTAAGACCCGCCAACAATCGAAATGATAAAAGACCCGAATATACTTGAAGGATCCACATTAAATTTGACATGTCCAGTGATCTTTGGAAATCCAAGTGACACACAAATAGAATGGACAGCAAGTGATGGAGGAGAGCAGTGGTCATCTAAGTTTTTCGTGATATCAAATGTTTCAAGACAACATGATGGAGAATATAAATGCACTGTGAACAATACTATGTTTCCAACATTTGGTCCAGAAAAGTCAGGAAAGAACAGTAGAAGTTTCCATTTAAATGTTGAGTGTATGTATATAATCATTGAAGTGGTCGTTATGTTATTTCTTGTCACTTGCATGATATTCGTAATAGATGGCGAATCGTAGCATACAATGACTATCCTTGTTGCTGAGGTTGTTAAAATGAAAAATCATGTCTGCAACAAGAATTGTTTTCAATCGTGGCCGGTAAACATGCTTATCTCAGTTGTTTGTGATATTTAATATGCCCTTACACCCAAAATAAAGGAAAAATGACCCATGTCAAAGGTATTATGTTTCCGACTTACCATCCAGAAAAAACAAGGAAAGAAAAGCAAAATGTTCATCTGATATATCGTATCTTACGTTTTATTTCAATCTTAATATTTTTGTTAAGTTGATTTATGTTATCATTTGGTTTTGAAAAAGTCAATCATACAACTTTAAATTAAACAGTCCATGCTTCAGGACAACTAGTTGTTACAGTAGTTAATGATACAATGAAAACATTATTGAAATAGACTACTAATTTGCTCAAAAAAAGCGAAACAAACGTTAGATTGACTGCAAATTTTTTTTTATAGAAGCTAGATAATATAAATTGATAATCATAGATACTTGATCTGTACATAAGTTGTAATAAAGTTTCAGGATACCCTGGCCTGTTTTGTTTACAAGCTCAAAAAAATAGAATATCTTAAATGGAACATAAAAACATATGAAACGATCCGTTACCTAATACACGTACTTAGTGATATACCTTTTGTCATTTTAAGAACGTGTTTTATAAGGAAAACATGAGCCGATGTTTTTATGATAATAAGCGTTTTGACGAAGTCTGTTTTGTAACTTAAGATTTATACTTATATTATATGGAAAGGCTGTCTGAGGCACATTTACTCCTAAGTTCAAATCACATCAATTTTATTTCATTTTACTTTCTCAGACAAAGCAACAATCAAATCATTTTATGTGGATGGATATGAACAGCAGACAAACGTGACGGTTCACGAAAGAGACACTCTTATTTTCCGATGTCAGGTTGAAGGTAAACCTGTTTCAACAACCTCTATTCACTTTCAAACTGGACACAAATTAGAAACATTTCAATCAAATGATGTTTTGTACAAAATAGTTTCTATTACTTGTCAACAAACAGGAACATATGTTTGTAGTGGAAGAAATAAGCATAACGCCGAACAAGTTTCTAAACAGACTTTGCACGTTTTCACATATTGTAAGTATAAAGTATATCTATGTTAACCTTGAGGATGAACACTATATTTTTTTAATATATCTTAGGATTGTTGATTATGAACTACCGTTTTACTTGTCAATGATACAAAATGATATATTAAACAATAATTTTGTTTTTAAAACAATTTGATATATAAATTTGTACATGTAAATGTTATATTCTATTAAAATTATTATCCTTGAATTATTTCAAAGTTCAAAAATTAAAATTCAATATAATATGAATCTCACTATAGAAACTAAATATCAATGTACAATTTCAAACGAAAGCATCAAGTAACTTTATAGTTTCATTCAAGTTTAAATTTATAATACTAAGTCATTTAGACGGATGACATGCACTAATAGTAACAAAAACAAGGTATTCGTTTTGTGTATTCTTCAGAATCATATTTTCAAATTAACATATTTCATTTTTAAGGCTCGCCGAGGACGGATCCTAGATATCCTGTTAAAGAGAGGATAACTGTTTCTTTATACACAACTGCTTCTCTTAATTTCACTGCACTTGCCTATCCTACACCAAAGATTGTTTTATGGCAGAAACGTAATGGTCATGTCTGGATAGACGTTAATACGACCAACAATACAAATACTCATCAGTCAGGCTTGAACTTTAGTCTGACTATTTACAACATGTTGGAGGAAAACTTTGGAATGTATAGGTTGATACTTAAGAACGAAATAGGGACGTACGAACAAATGTTCTACATAAATGCTGAAGGTAAGTTTATCAGCCTTTTTTGACTTGTATTTATAACCTTTACACTGGTCTGATGTCCTGATAATAAATGTATAAATTAAATTATATATTGCGTTTAGTTTCTTGTTTTAGAATATCGGATTATTTTCTAAAATAATTTTAATAAGTAACAAAAATATTGAAGAAAAACGTAAAATGTATCATAATTAAACTCTTATTCAGAAAATGAACACATCAAACTTTCGAACGTGGATAGCTTCATTGCTGTTGGAGGTGGAACATTTGCTGCTACTGTGCTACTTTTCAGTTGAGCAATTATTGTCTTAAAATATTTGAGGTAATGATATGCTTTTATGATATTAGCTAATTAACCGTTAGGTTTATTCTTGCATAAAAATGCGCAGATATAAATAACCAACGGTGAAGAAAACATGCCTAATGTACACGAGCACGCATGCTTGTTCCATGTGGTTTTGTGTTTTTTAATAGATTTTTATTGTGCATGACTCGGGGAAAGCATGTCTAATACACTTAACGAAACTTATAAGTACTCCGACCATTTTTTTATTATATTGTGTTAGAATTACTATAACTAGTCTAAGTCGATACTGTATAAACTTTAATCATAGTATCATCATTTTATAATAGTAAATGTATTTTACAATGACTCAAACTTAACAGAAAATCAGTAACTGAGATCACCATTGTAAAAAAAATCAAATACCTTCAAGTTTAGTTTATATTTTGAAAATCGGAGTTTTCCTGCAAGTTTGAAATCGGAGTACTTATAAGTTTCGTTAAATGTAGATAATAGCCATGTCATTGAGCGATCGCGCTTAAAATGCATTTCCGTCTTGAACGACAAGAAATGATGCATTGATCTTTAAATACTTCTCATTTTTCGCCATTTTAATCTATTTTAAATATAGTAAGATATCTTGGATAAGAAGGATTAAAATGATCATAGTTTAAAATAAAAGTTTATTAATTACAGGAAATACATTAATTTTATTACAGGACAAAACAAACGCATGCTTGTTGTTTGTGTTGCGATTCTAAGAAACAAGGTAATCATAAATTCTGGTAAAAACCCGCTTCTTGTTTGCTTTTTTTCTTTCTTTGCTTTTTCAAAACGATCTGACTTGATATTTTATATTTTCATTTTTTTTCTGATAAATTAAATAATACCATGAAATGTCAAATGTTAGCGTCAAACAAAAGTTTCTACCAAAACTGCTAAAATGCAGAACGAGGGATTATATTAAGGCATGACCACACCTTAATGGACAGTATAAGGAACTGAAAAAATACAACATAGATCAGATTTACGTCTTAATGGACACGTGCAGGCAAAATTTAAACACAATTTATCGTGCGGGTGACGAAATATGGACATTTTTCTAAACTGGGGACCTCTTTTTTAAAAAATAAGGAAACTCATAATGATCGATAATCGAAACAAAAAATAACATTTGCAGGGAACAAACGACTGAAGCAAAATGTTTGAAATACAAATAAAGATGGTACATACCCCATCTGTTTTAAACACTTAAAGACCTAATTCAAAATATCCATTAAAATACACAATTAAGGGACTCTTTCTAAAGTTTGTCTAAATATTTACAAGTTAAAGTATTAATATTGTTCTTGTTGTTGTTTTCTTTTTTCAAATTTCCTTAATTTTAAAATGCATTTTTAATTTTATTAGACTTTGCAAATTTCAGATAGGTAACACATTTATAAATTAAGTAGTATTTAGCCAATGGATATCAATAATATATATTTGTTTCAAAAGGGCCTAAATTATTCAAATAAGGTTAAGAATAAGAACAAAAACAAAAAGGTTGACCCTGCTAATGTTTGAACGACCGTCAATTTCAATGCAACGGATTCGAGAGTGTTTCAATAAGCTTACAGCTTTCAACACAATCAAACTAAAATAATTTTTACGCATCCGCGCAGTCTGATCAGGATCCATGCTGTTCGCTATCAGTTTCTCTACTTGTAATAGAGTTTGAAAGCGAACAGCATGGATCCTGATCAGCAGGCTGGTCTGGATCCATGCTGGTCGCAAACGCACTATGTTGGTTTTGTCGTGACACGGCTCAAATGTAGTATTAAATTTAAGATATAACTAAACGATTACACGTGGAAATATATTTACATTCTTGAATACTTTTTAACACTGTTCAGATTTCTAAAAAAAGTAAAAGTATGATTTATAATTGCAGAAGTTTCTGAAACATCCCCTAATGACTTCATGACTATTAAAGTCTCAAGAAGGGAAGACAAAGTTTCTTCATCTACTTATGAACAACTGGAAATACGAGAAATAAAGTAAGATTATATATGGATATTGAAAACGAAAGAACTTCTTCAGGAAGAACGAACTACGTTACCACAGTTATATAAGACAAATAAACACATTTGTGCTAACATTGACCGCATTGACAATCAGGTGGTGAGTGATGCCTGTTCATTGTTATGCTGGTTTATGTTTTAACGAGTTAATTTATTGAACTATTTTTTTTTACAAAAGCAGCAAACTAAAACAAACATCGGTTTAAAAAGATCCAAAAGTTGGTGCAGACTCGTCGTAGAAAATGCCATACCTTTTATTTCAGCCCATGCTTGTGAAGTGACTCAAACAGTATTCGATATAGATACAACCTTGAAATTCAATACTAAAGATCAAGTAATTAAGATCTTGTATCGAGTAACATTGCAATTTTCTTTTGTACATGTTACCTAAAATACATTTCAACATAATTATGCATTAAGATCATTTTAATTTTCAAAGCTAATGCAATCAGCAGAATATAACTTCTTGAATATGAAAGACATCTGAAATAACAAATGTACGATTAAAACGTGTTTTAAAAAAGGGAGAACTATACTGTAATTACATTATACATTTATATTCGCATGATCAATTCATAAGATGCTATAATATGCAACAGCTTATGGCTATGTGCATACCTCTATGTACATGCCATTTAATCGTGTTATGGCTTTATCTAAATTCTTTTTCGCAAAGTAAATAAACGTAAATGTATATGCACACTTCATCTGTTTGTTTGTGTGTTTGTTGTTATGGTTTTTGTTTGTTTGTTTTTTGGGTTTTTTTTTGCCTGTTATACCATTTGTTTTAATTTGGTGACATCTAGGCGGCTGATCATCCTAGGCCAGGCTTTTTGAATTATACCTATCTTACATTATGTACTACTTAAATGTAGGGTACACAAAATATTAACTTTTTATGACAAAATCATTTGCAATCATCAAAACTTGACATTGTACATTTATAAACTAAAGAAAACTCCAATGACTGTGCTAATACCAAAACGTGCCAATCAGAATTATCGGAAAAGATTTCAGATTAATAAAAGATCTTCTGCATAAATATGAAAGAGGAAATTATTACAGCTTATGAATTATATATTGTCGTATACAATGTATACTGTATAATTTAAGTCTAGATCAAGGGCATCATCTCTAGATTGATCTTATATCTAAAATTCCTAATGCGATTACCCCAAATATGTACAAGCGCATGTAGCAAACATAATTCTTCTCATTAAAATTTCCATTAATTTCACTATCCGTGTGCACATACATTTCATAATTCACAGTCACCTTTCATTTAATTGTAGAATATAATTTTTCTGATTTAAAATACAGTTCTGTTACCAGACAAATATTTTTCATGCATGCATACGTGTATAGAATATAAATATCTCTATCCGTGAACAGTTCTTTCACCTTTTTGATGACAGTGCTCCTTGACACGTTAAACTAAAAATGGCTGCTTCTATCTCGAGCTGAAAAGCTCCAATACGCTGCTCTTTGAGCTTTAACATGCATTTTAATTATTATTATATTAAGCAAATGGAGCACCTCTCAAATATATACGAGAATCATGCATTCATATTCATAGTTCGACACTGCATGTGTTTTATCAACTTTAAGCGTAATGTTATTGACTTACATAAGGTGGTAATATTTAGACGCTGTTGGTTAAAAACTTGGTAACACTGGCAGTGATGGAATAAGTGTAGTGTCATCTACTGTGGTGTAGAATATGAAGTAAGACTTTTTGAAACGGGCGTGGATCATGCAAAACCTGTTGAGAAAGGATAAGAACAATGTAGGGTTGATTTTGGGTTAGTAAATAATGGTTAAGATTCTACCAAGGATGACTGTGGGGTTAACATTGATGGCACCGACTCACTTGGATTGGCTGTGCAGATACGAGTTGCGTAGATACAGATGTAATTTTGTATTATTGAAATATTTTCATTTTTTTCTGCATTATTTTTTATATCACCTCTTTAGGGGTTTTCATGAGTGTTATTAAACCTTCATTATTCATTTGTGCTTGTACTTGCAATCATAATAATTTCTAGAACTATTCTGGCTTTCGCCTTCGACCATCACCTAGGAATTTATGTTGCCAGCCCCACCCTCTCATACTTTTGCTAAGCAGGAGCTGATTACCCAATGTAAATTTTATGCGCCCTACTCGTACCATCGATAACTTGCTCGCTGATAAAACAACTTAAACGAGACCTTACGCACTGCATATAATTCTATACATTCCAGGCCAAGATCTCCCAGCAAACAAACATTGGGTTGCCAACTGGTCTGGGTTCAAATATTGTTGCCATGGTCTCAATTGATATCCACTCCAGGCCCAATAAGGTGCTCAATACCACCAATTTACTACCCATCTTTATTATACCTGCCAGCCGTGCATGATCTTGGAACTAGATGCTTGCTCCATGGTCATACTAAACGGGATTAACTGTATTTGCTTTGCAACCTTGAATGTTACTTTTCTACATTTGAGTTGCCAGTCCTAGTGGGTGTGCGTAGCGATGTAGGCTTTTGATATCGGGTTGCTCCCTGGTCATAACTCACTTATTTTACATAGACAGTGCTTCCTCCTTCCGGGTAAAATTCACGAAAAGTACCTTGTTACATGTGTACTATTGTGTTGTCTGAGTGAAATGGCCACAAAATATTTCGTCAATGAATTAAAAATTACCTTCTTGTGACGATAAACATACAGGTTTCACCTTTTTTATTCGAAAACAAATCACAACAGGCAAAGTAAAATAATAATAATTACAACAATAATGCTAACAAAAAACAAGCTACGGGAAGTAACTCATGCGCTCCTAAACACCGAAATTTACCGAGATGTTTAACCCTTGGCAGAATGACTTTAGCAATCTATACACTTCCTATCGACAAACGGTTGAATATAGTAGGAGTAGTAAGACATGAATGTGTATCGATGGTACATGATACGGCGGTTAGTTAGTAAAAATTAATTCTTAGTCTTATTCTCAAAGGTGGATGCAATGTGTGCGGGGGGGGGACAAAGAATAAATCTAGATATTCATAGAAGAGGCTAACTTTACTCGACCAGTAAAAAACACAAACTATTTGGTTTTAAACAAGTTGATTTATTGAAGAAACGAATAACAATTAATAGAATTAGAGAATTACTAACAAATATTTAACTTCAGAGTATCTGAACCTCTAACCTGTCAGACATTGGCGAAAATGACAGTGTGAAAATTGAGTAAAATATCTAAAGTTTTCCTCCAAATTTGTATTTGAATAATTTGCTTAATCTGCAAAAAAAAAGAAAGATACCAGAAAGTTCTATATACTAAAGAATGAGATGGTAAAATAATCAATATTTTCCCTCTAAATTCGAAGAGTCAATTAAAAAGTGTTAAATTAGAGTAAAAATGACCAGTTGAAAAAGGGGTTCGTAGAAATTTATGATCCGTACAAAATAGTTATGACCCAGCAGGGAACTTGTACATTCGTATGATAGCTACACAAATACAGCGGAGCGGAGAAATCTGGAAAATAACTTGAAAACAAGCAATAATACAAAATGACAGTCGTAAGAAACGATGGAGGGATGTGACAAAGGATAAACTTAAACAATATGTATTAAGAATATCAAGTTCTAACACTGAAATATAACAATATGTAGGACAGAATACGACAACAGAAAGGTAAATGTTTCATTGCAGACATGAGCATTAATTAAATACAGGTTCTATTTCTGACAAGTTTTATTTGTTATCAGAGTAAACGGAAATGGTAATATAATGTTATTAGTGCATGGAAGTTGTTGACAATTATTTGAACATGTCAATATTTTCAAATAAATACAGTAAATTGTTGCACTTTTATTATTGAATATGTAAATACATGTATAAATAATCATCTCTACTTTTAGAAATATAATGATAAATTATTATTTTATTTACAAATCAGTATATACTCTTCGGGCCACTATCGCATAAAAGCCAGCAGAAACCAAATGTCAACCTCTAAATTTACAATATCTCCATAAGTGACAGACTACTTATGATTAATAAACAGATGCGTGAGACAAATGACCTTTTGTCACAATGCAAAAATATGAAGCATCAGAGACAACTGATGACATGTTGTACGAGAAAAGTTCAAAATGTGTAGTTTCCACAAATTGTTATTGCAGTGTCATTTGTATGCTGCTTTTTAATAATAAAAGTCATGTCAAATACAAAATTAACAATGTTATTTATAAGTAATAGACGATTACCTGTATTTAAATAAATAAATATTTGAATAGAATGGATATATTCTGGTAAGTTAAAAGTTTGTAAACAACAAAATGCGCTTAAAAGTATTTCTACAATTGTAATACTACAACACTATCAAATGCCAGCAAATATGGCACAGAATTACAATATCCTACATGTGACCTCTTAAACATATCAGCAATTTGTAACAATAACAAAAAGCAATTATCATAGTATTGCAAGCAATCCATAAGACTTAATCCCCTGCCGGTTAGAACCCCCAGCAACATTCTGAAGGGCCATTGGTCATTCACTAATGTTTCAATTTTTCTCATTTTAAAAAAAAATGTTGAAAAAGATCTTTAAAAGTGATCACAGGAAACAGTTCTTAGTAATAGACAGACTGAAGGACACTCTAAAGTTAATTTTTTAAACTTCCCTGTTACCAGAACATAACATTTTAAACAGCAAAATTCTTAAAAAGGAGATAACTCTTGAAATAAAGATCCAAGATGTCATACATGATGTGAATAATAATAAGAACAATTAGTAATGAAGCTGACATAATGAATGTTTATTTTGAATTTGAAGTAAAAGAAAGTTAAAAGAATGAATAAGAAAAAATCAAAGTTTAAGAAGGAGATAATTCTGTAAATATGGATGCTAGATTTATAAACCTTGTCATCTTATTATGATGTGGGAGTTTGAAGTAAATCCTATAAGTAATGAAGAAGTTGGTGTAAAATATACCAATTTCTCAACAAAAAATATAAGGCCAAGGGGGATATAATTCTGGAAGTAGTATTGCTAGAGTATTGAACCTTCTCCAAATGATTTAAGTGATAATTAGAGACATATATATGAATTTTGAAGAAGATACATAAAGAAATAAAGAAGTTATTAAAAAAAAAAAAATTTCATGCAAGTTCAACGGAGGTAATTATGATAATTTTTGTGCTAGAGTTAAAACCTTGTCACATATGATGTGGATGGTGACCAGAAACTTATGTTTGAAGTTTGAAAAACACAAATATCACAAATATTGTTATATTTGCCATGTTTTAAGCCTATTTGTTGCCATGGCAAACATTTTTTTTTCAAAATAGGTGAAAAGAAAAAGACATGCAAAATCTCCATACTGCCATCTACCCTTATTTCAAGTTTCACAGAAATATTTTCAGTACTCTTTGCATTATCACTAGATCAAGTTTATGTGTTAAATTTGCCAAAGTTTCAGTCTATTTGTTGTCATAATAAACCAGACTTATCAACATAGGAAAAAAGAGAAAAAGATGTGCATAATTTCAAGACTGCCATCTAACCATATTTCAAGTTTTATAAAAATATTTTCTAGTACTTTTTGCCTTATCTCTGGATCAAGTTTATGTGTAAAATTTGCCATATTTTCAGTCTATTTGTTGCAATAGCAACCAAAATTTTCATCATAGGAAGAAATAAAAAAACGTGCATAATCTCGATACTGCCATCTATACATATATCAAGTTTCATAAAAATATTTTCAGCACTTTTTGCGTTATCGCGGGATCCAATTTTGTGGACGGACGAGCTAGCTCAGGTGAGCTAAAAATTGAAAAGGATATAATTATAACGAATACTTTTAATTGACTAGAAACAATATATGAATTATAAAATTGTGCCAATTCCGATAAACACGTTGACAAATCTTAAATAGAGGATATTGAATGAGTGTAGTTTAATACTAAATTTATTGAACGAGTTGAATAAAATCATTTTATGCGAGCCTCTGGCGAGCATAATATTGTTTTATTCAACGAGTTCAATAAATTATGTATTGAATCTTCACGAATATAATATTCTATTTATCAGATATATAAAAAAGAACAGTAAACTGTTAAAATGAGTAATTTTTCAATGACGCGCCTATAGTGTAACGCTAACATTAGCGCGCTTTAACGCTATGTTCATATATAGGGCAAATGACGTCACGTCAAAGTGTTATTACACTAGTTTAATATCGTTTTTGTGTCGCCTCTACGGAGTAGTGGCGACATATAGGGATCACTTCTCCGTCGTCTGTCTGTCCGTCTGTCTGTCTGTCCGTCTGTCCGTCCTTCCTTCACAAAACTTGTCCGGACTACTCCTCTTAAACTACTGGTGCAATTTCATCCAAACTTTACAGGAATGATCAGTACCAAGTCTAGTTGTGCATATTGTCAGCATTTTCCGGTTCAAGGATTTTTGTCAGAGTTATGGCCCTTTAATAATTTTTATTTTTAAAGTTTGTCCGGACTACTTCTCTTATACCACTAATGCAATTTCAATGAAACTTTACAGGATTGATCTGTAGCTCAAGTCCTTGCGCATATTGCACGGGTTTTATGGTTGAATGATTTTTAGCGGAGTTATGGCCCTTTGATAAAAAGGTGTTTTTTCTGTGTGTTGCCAGATACACAAAAGCTTGTCCAGACTACTCCTCATAAACTACTGGTGCAATATTTATCCAAAATTTACAGAAATGATCAGTACCAAGTCTTATGTGCACTGTCTGTCTGTATGTCCGTCTGTCACAAAAATTGTCCCAACATGAAATTGGCCATTACATGTGATCACTGATCGCTCTTGTTGTTAAATGGCTTTATTACACTCCTGCGCCGCGGTTTATGTAATAAAAGTAAAAATGCGCCTTTAGGAAATAATATAAAAGAAAATCATAAACACACTCGTACATAAGCAATTTGTACACATTTATGTTTCTGTTCGATCTAAAAGAAAAGTTCCACGTGATCTAGGGAATGTCAGTCAGTCGATTTTCCGAGCTCTTAATATTTAATCAATTTTCAGTTTCAAGATAAATATAAATTGTATTACTATTTACATTTTTTTAAATTTCTCAAGCGTGAAAGCAGATCAGTTTTAATTTATATATTCAAACGATATTTTCGTCATCACTGTATGTTAAAATATTTTAAGCTTGCTAGAAATTATACAATAAAGACAAGAGTAGATTACCGGGGTGTTTGTGCTTATTAATCAGACAAACGATATCAAATATTTTGAACAAAGACCTCGCAATATGTGCCCGACTGTAAATCAAAGAATTACTTACATTAGAGAAGAAGCACATTCATTACAGCAAGTTCGGATTAATAAACCTTGTTCTAGCAGACTCGAGGGGCGGGGATAATTTAAATCGTTATTCATAAATGATTCATGTAACTTTTATTGAACATTATATTTAACATGCAACATACTTAGCTTTTACCACATCATTTCAAGGAAGGCAAACTCATTAACACTTCATGTAGTGAGCATTTTGTCTTTGTATATATACTGACTTAATTTAAACAACACTTACATTGCATTGCGAAAACCTACAAATTACACTAAACAAAAACTAAAAAGTAATCAATTCCTCCTCATTAGAAATTAAAATGACTTATGCATTGATAATTTCTTGACTTCTTGTTTCTTTACCTCCCTTCCTTTATATTAAGAAGATTAAACCCACACACGCAATTGTTCTTTCTGGTGTTCATGAATAAGGTAAGTTGAGTGCTGAACTTTTATCATTTAGGGTGATGCTTGGTGCTCTGCACACTATTGGTGTTGAGTAAAATACTTGAAAACATGTTTACACTAAATGCGACATTTTTAAACCGACATGCTACTTGTTAACCGAAGAACTTCTATGACTCTCATAAAATGTTACTGAAAATCAAGCATAACGCCTCACTGCTAATCGCCCATGTATACAAACATAAAGTCTTTATATAATTGCAATTAACAAAAATAAAATGCATTAATAACATCTAAATTGAAATTTTCATTGCAAATGTAATTATTACGGTATATATCAAACAACTTTATCTGAAAAATGTTACCGATAAACACCATGATCTTACAGAAACTTTAAACAAATTATTACAATTTTACATCGTAAACAACATATCGTTAACAGATCATACACAATGTTATATTAAAATTTCGTTTCGGAGTAAAAGAAAAAAAAACACCTGTAAGCAGATAAGCACCAACAGCATTGTTTTCCTTAATCTAAAAATTTAATATAAATTTGAATTATATTAAAAAGGATATATTTTAATAAAAGTCAATATGATATTATCAAATTTACCACAAACAATGATTTTAAAAATTGGATATATGATGTGCTAATTATATAATTATAAGTGTTATGAAAAGTCGCATTAAATTGTGGCTATACCATTATAAAATCATCCTGAAACAAATGAAAGATAACAGTCTTATTATAAAATTGATAAAATTGATATTATAAATTATAATTAACAAAGAATAAAAGGATTGATTGAATATCATAATAAAGCATGTACACAAAAATATATATTGCACTTATGTCCAATGACAATGATTAAAACAAAAACAGTACACAAATGTAAAATAAATGACTAGTAAAATAACTAATAAGAAATACAATTAATTAATTTGTTAACAAATGGTCTTCCTGTAAATGTAAGATAGTGCCCTGTTTTTAACCCGGTCGACTGCTAGGGGCTTATAAACTTCATGGTAGTTGTCAAACATTGTTTAGAAAAATTGATTTTGTACAAATCTTATTTTAATAAGTTCCAATAGTTTCTTTTACCGATAGAGACTCTTACACAGTAGACACACACTTTAATTTAGTCACAATTAATTAAAATAAAAATTCAATTGATTCATTTGTATACTGATGCAAACGTTTATTGAGATGTATTCGCCGTCAAACAATGTCTACACGTCTTCTGTATGTTAGTATGCTAGAGAGTTGACAAATTAAAAACAAACAGTCGCCGATATGAAGTGCCATGTGTTTCACTTCGGAATATCGAAGCCGAGGCTTGCCATATTGTCGCCGATTGGTGGTACCCGAGGTACAGATATTGCGATCTGAACGCGTATCCGCAAACCATATTCTAAAATGACCACCTCAATATTGTTTTCAGTCATTCCTTCCGTTACCAGTTTTAAGTAGCGTATGAATTTACAAGTTCATTCGAAACGGCGAAATGATGCCATCCTAAGCATGTCCTTTTTTCCCTAAAATGCCGTTTTTTCTGGTGCCCACGTACCAGATATAATTTTCAACATGAGTAAAACTTATTAAAAACACTTTATTATATTTATATGGTTATCTCTGTTTAAACAATTTTGAGTTGTCGGAATGGTGAGTTTCATTATCATAATGTAAAAGAATCAAGCGACATATCAACAAAAAAGACTGAAAAACATTGGGAAAACGTTAGACGTGTCGCATTCTATACTCCATAGTCAATTCGACTCAATTGTTAATGAGTTCATTTACACCGATGTCATGCACTTGAACCAAATACATGTTTTTACTTCCGTTTGATGAGATTGTTTCATACTGCAATTATAATACAATGGTCATATGAAAGTCATGTAATATGAGTAATTTCCTTTACAGATAATGCATGAAACTAGTATTGTTATAATTATGTTTACATGAATAATGCGTGCAAACTGATCTCTGGTTAAAGTGGATAATTCCGTTTCTAATCTTAAATGGTGTAGTGCAGTTAATTATTGTGCGCAGTAATTTATAGTATTTGTTTAACTGATATTTTTTTTGATAACTAGATGTATAAAGAAATACTGCGAGGACACTGTTTAATTGCGATTAATGCTGTAGCACAAAAATCAATTAAGACTAACAGCATTTCCTTAAATGAAGTATAGTGAGTCACCACAAAGGCGCAATAGGAGTACAGTTCGGCATCCTACATCGCCTAAGTTACTAAGTCCTGTTTCATTTTATGTTACAGAAATTTCATATTTGCGCGCTGCAAAACACATTGACTGTCAGTAGCGCTTGTTGAAATGTGATCTCTGAAATGTCAGAGTCATTACCGCGCTTATGAATATCTTCCAGACGGAGTTAGTGCATTGGCAGCATAAATATAGCGTCGAATTCACAATGGAAGCGTATAGAGAACGCAGAAAATCAGGAAAAACTATAAATAAAAAAGGTCCGTAGAGACACCATGCTCTTCTTAATCAAAATTTTAAGACTTTATTTACGAAATTACGGGATTTTTGAGAATTAAGATAATCCTTGTAGACGCTGTAGAAATGTCATTGACTGTTAATGGGACATACCCTAGTGTTAAATTTCTCAAATATAACATTACACCTACTAAGCAGCAGTATGCAAGAAAATGTTGAAAACATAATTCACTAAATACAAGTGAACAATATTTAATATAACAATGTGTACGTGCATAATTTAAGTAAGTTTTTTCAGCTGTGAGGTCTTCTCATCACTGTCATGCACATCTTCAGCCGAACCAGGATCAACAGCTTTTAGTGAAACAGCAGACTGATCTTTCGTTTCATCATTTGTTTTTCCTTGCGTTTTGTCTTCTTTCCTGATAAATAGATTTAAGGAAATAAAGATATATTTTACCAATACAACATGTTAAACGTTGATGCGTAGATGATTTCTATTACACTTAAATTTATAATGATTGTTCGTGATAAATATCATTAAGCAATATGACATATGCAAATATTTAAACTTCCTTAAGCATGCGAATAAAATTATAATGTGCTGTGAAAAATAATATGAAGAAGATGTTTTAAACGGACAAAAGCTAATGTAAATGACGGTGATATTGATGATTCTAAATAACTAATTGCGAGAGAGCCAGTTGTCGAAAGTTTTCCTCTTAATAGTATACTCGCACTGCGAGTTTGAATTCTGTTTTTTTGTTGGTGTTTTTTTTGGCACAAAAACACAATATTTGCAATAAAGTAGTGCGGCACTTTCGGAAGGTAAAAACTTCATTAGACAATGTCCCGAGGTAGGGTACAAAGTTTTACACTTGACTTGTTTATTTTATTGTTGTAAGCTTCATAACAAGTTTTAACATTATACGTATAAAATTATATGTAAATGGACTATGGCATTATTATCGTTTCATTTTCCGTCTATACCTCACTTTTTCTGAATAATTAATCTAATTTGATTAGCATACAATTCTCAGAAACTGTAAACAAAACTCAAATAGCAACGGAAAACACACCTAGTCTAACAATAAGTTGATATTCCGTGTACGTGGTTATTAGAACTAAGAATCAAAACCACTTAAGGTTCTTGAAAACAATTTAATCATTGAGACAACAACAAGTCCAAATTGTCACATAAACCAGTATATTATCAGACAAGAGTGGCACAAACAAATATCGTAAAATTACCATTATAAGCCTTTTTCTATATCCATCGCTTACAATAAAATAAGTTGCTATGTTATTACGATGTGTTGTACGAAATAGAACAAAAAGCTCCTTAAAATTTGAGAATTAAAAAGAAGTGCAACATCTCATTTAAAGCATAGGATACATTTCGAAAAGAAAATTATATACTTTGAATTAAGATTAGCAATTTGTAACTGCATTTTTTTGTTTAAGTAATTTTTGTTTTCTTTACTTGCGTTCTCGTTTTTACTGTTTAATGAAGAACTATTTCAATTAATTTACTGTTAACTCACTTTGTTTTATGTCGTTTGTACAAACAAAATAGTGCAGCACACACAATCACTGTGCATCCAATAACGCCAATAACCGCTCCTGAGACGATTGCACTGTAAGGACCATTTGAACTTTTATTATCTAAAATGTAATTAATATCTATATTAATATATACAATGCATATTTACTTATTCTTATTTCTAGCAATTTTCCATCTTAAGTTCTTTAATACCACGAGTTTTTGTTTTACCAGTATTTATTTGTAATTAACTTAATTAAGTTGATCGTGTATGTTATCGATACTCAATTATACAAGAGAGACATGAAAAACTAAGATTGAAAAATAGCTACTAGGCCGTAATGAAGATAAATCGAATTTCAATACTGTATCTAAAACATTGTATATGTAAAAAGGGTAAGCTTTAAATATGGCTATCACATAAGGTCCATATTTGCTAAGACAGCCACTGATTGCTATTGGAAGTTAATGGGTGCAATTGATGTCAATAGTTGTTAAAGAGGTCACTGGTTGCTAAAGAAACAGAATTTCAATATTTTACCATAAATAAGGGAATCTATTTGACAATGTCTGGCAAAGGCCTTATTTTAATACCATTTGTATTGGTCCACCATGCAATGTTCAAAAAGACATACAGAATCCTAAATTTAGCTTAAGTGTTCTCGGGCGATACAAAATGTACATACGAGGGTCCATTGAATATTACGCAGACAACAGTAATATTTCTTGTCTATTTGGATATTTTTGATAGCAAATATTCGACTCAAATATGCTATCAATATTCGTCAAAAACATGTAGAAAATTCCATGAAGAAGAAAACAGAAATTAACATGTTATGCCAATTTGAAACAATATACTCTTCATTACACTGCACTTAAAGACGGCAAAAAAATGACGTCAAGAACGTAAATTTATTAACATTGCTAGAAGTACGCATCGGCCTTTCCGATATCTGTCTGTATTACAGAGCTTATGTGTTAAAGAATTCTTGGTATGACGCCAATGTATTCAAGGTTAAGACAAATTTCATTCCGAAGCGCAGATGTTTAAAACGTTCTAACCTTTGACCTCTCAGTTCCAATTGAGTTTGTCTACACGCCTAAGTCACACAAGAAATGGGTTTGTATACTAATTGAGTTGGTCTAAAGGGCCTAGATCACACACTACTTGGACTTGAGTTGATCTATAGTGCCTTATACATATAATTCTAGGGCTTTCATACCGATTGAGTCGGTTCACTTGGCCTAGATTACACAAGACTGGCGTTTGATTACTGATTAAATTGGTATCAGACCCTAGATCTCATAAGATAAGGGTTTGTATTTTTACTAAGTCGGTATACTCGGCCTAGAAAACATAAGACTTCGACTTGTATTCTGATTGGGTTCTTCAGTATGGCCTTGATCACATAACACTGGGACTTGTATACTGAATGAGTTGGTCTACGGGGCCTAGATCACATAATACTGAAGCTTGTATTCTGATTGAGTGGGTCCACCGGGATCACTAGATCACATAATACCTGGACTTTTATACTCGTTAAGTTGGACTAAACAGGCTTCTATACAGATTGAGTTGCAATCATAAAATGTTACATATTGCGCTAAAGTTAGCTGTTAAAACATACAATTGATGTGCACTTATTAAATAAAAAATAAACTATGGCATACATGTATATATATTACAAATTAAGCTTTCTTTATGGCGTTTAGTCCAACACATAGACCAAAATTTGTATCAGCATTTGTATCTTAACTGTCACATATTGCATACTAAACAGAAATACAAACAAGAGGGCCAAGATGGCCCTTGATCGCTCACTTGACACATCAAACTCATCTGGGCAATTATTTACAGACCAAGTTGATGACAATTGAATCAAAAATGTGCCAACTAGAGTGTTAACAAGGTTTTTCCATATTTGGGCAGTGTGACTTAGTTTTAAACTCAAGGTGACCCGTATTCGGACTTGACCTAGAAATCATCAAAACAAACTTGAAGACCAATTTTCAGGATATTTGGATAACAAAAGCTATCATTAAAGAGTTAACAATATTTTTTTCTATTTTTAGCTCCTGTGGCCTGGCTTTTTATCCGATATGACCCATGTTCAAACTCATCCGAGCAATCTACTAGACAAGCATCCTAACGATGTTTGATGACAATTGAGTTAAAAATGTGACTACTAGAGTGTAAACATGGTTTATCCATATTTATGCAGTGTGACCTATTTTTTGACCCCAGGTGACCTATATTTGACATTAACCTAGAAATAATAAAAAAAACGTTTAGAACAAGTTCAGGATATTTGGATCAAAACAGTAGCCACTAGAGTGTTAACGACATTTTTCTATTTTTAGCTCCTATGACCAAGTTTTTCATCCGAGATGACCCATGTTCGAACTCATCCGAGCAATTTACTAGACAAGCATCCTGACAAAGTTTGATGATGCAATAGGCAAAAATGTGACCATTAGAGTGTTAACGAACAAATGTGGACGGACGACAGACGACGGACATTCAACGATCCTAAAAGCTCACCCTGAGTTGATTCATTGCTTCAAGCAGCATTGTCACTTTTATAAGAGTAACACGCATTCAATTTTTAGTGCACTTGCGCTCATAAGTGAATTCCGAATGAAACTTTGCTTTAAAACTAGCAGTTATTTGAATTATCCAATAATCAAAAGTTAAAGATCTATACTAGACAAGATTTGTAGACAAAAATATCTACCCTGTTCTTCAAAAAGGTATTTCACAGCAGTATTGGATGTCTCTTTACGTTCATTCCCGTATAAAGCTGCGACTTTCACATAGCATTTGCCATTATTGCTAGCTCTGGCGTAAATTATCTCTGTATACTGAACCTTGTCATTATGACTGCAATCAGAATTATTTAAACAACTTGTCCTGTTTGCGTCAAGGATTTTGGGTTGTATTTCCTTTTCCATTTTACTATCGACCTAAAAGAAATAATAATATATGAACAGGCGTCTTAATTTGTAAACGAAAGCAGAAGTGTCAACATTAAATTAATAGGTCAATCACCCTATTTTAAGTGATTGACCTTCTTTGTGAAAGCGTAAGTATAATGCAGTCATGTTTGGTGGACAGTAAACCTTTAAAAAAATCCGTACTGAATGGGCATGTATGTATGTTTGTTGTTACATGTATGTGTATGTGTGCGCGTGTATGTATTCGTCTAGTTCTGGTATTTCATAAATAATGAATTAAACTAATAAAAGCGAAGTTAATCATAAATCAAATAAAATCATTTTAGTACATGCTTAAAAGTTGCTCTTGAGACACTTTATATTTATGCTAAATAATTGGAAATTTCCCATTTGAAAGAATCATTGTCAATTATGATAGATCAGCAGACAATTAACTTCTTTCATAATACATGTAGTAAGTCTATAATATGTTTGAACATATATTTTAAATAAATTATTATACAATGACAAAAACTGCCTTAACCCTTTACTTCACATAGACGTGTTTTGACGGCTTTTCGTTTGGGAAATGTTGCGCCGCCCCCTATCATAAAGGTACATAAGGGGTTTGGTAGAAGGGAGATGAGTCCCCTTCTGTTTTGGGAGTTTGAAATGGGCGGCAGTACCCCTCATAGCAAAGACAATTTTGGACTTGTGAGAGGCTACAAATGACCCCAGGTCGATCATAAGGTAATGTGTAACGAACGCTGCAATGCCTTTGACTCTATCTCAATCCATTGAGAAGTATTGCAGCACTTTGAAAATAATTTTGATGGACAAAAATCAACGCAAAATAGTGATTTTTGTCAATTTTGAGATGTCCCCTCGTTGTCATGGTAACAGGAAATTTAAGACTGAGTATGTCGTTACAAGTGCAATGGTCCAGTCAACATGTGTGCCAAGTTCGATTAGTATTGAAACTACTAGGAGGTAAAGGTTTAATATCCATAACCATGAGTTTCTTTACTTTACAAATACATGTAGGATCTTGAATTATGCTCTGCATTACTATATCTGTATCTATGTTATCAGAATCGGTGACGTTGGCCAAATTGTCAAGGTTGAGGATTTTCCCACACCACAGTGGGCTCGAGTCATGCCAAGAACATTAGATGATGTCATGTGAGGAATCTTCCAATCAAGGTGACAGAGCGTTGGTGTTTCTACCCAGGTGCCTTTTTGTGCGTTAAAATTACACAGAGGAGCACCTGAGGCTTTTCTTTACTAGTTAACTGAAAAGTCTACATATAACCTTTAAAGTATTGATTCAACGTAAATCACAACGCAAACATTAAAAGACGCCGAGGAAAGATATAAAATGTATTACAAATAATTGTTCATGATGTCAAGGAACATACATCTACTAGAATCCATTTAAAGGTAACATTCTTGTTTTGAGAAACACATCCAGATGTCGCCATTACAGTCCCGTTCTTTGTATCTTCAAAAAGCTGAGGCTCATAATCTGTAACACATATGCCATCATTACTATTATTAACATTTAAAACATAAAATGTATTCTGGGACACAAGGACCAGAACTTTAATTTTGATTATTTTATGAGGCGGTGATGAACATCTAAATTCTGCTAAATCTCGGAGTCACAAGCAATTTGACTACTTCTTCGTTCTCAAGTACAAGGATTGATCAAAAAGTTCTCGGCCCGATGTACTTACGGAAGTCAGAGAACCCAACTTATGGTCTTACTTTTCAATATTATCGCCCTCTACATCAATGCACTTTTCCCACCTGTGCTCCAACTTGTTTAACCCTTCAAAATAGAACTATCTATTTTGGTCCTAAAAGAACTCATTGACCGCCTCCATGACACCTTCATTGCTTCATAAATCGTCTACCACGAAGCTTAGTTTTCAGTTTCGAAAACAGGTAGAAGTCATGGGGCCAAGTCCGGACAATATACGGGATGGGGAAGAATTTCAAAGCTGCAATCAGTTGGCGCATTGTCGTTCAGGAGCAGAACGCCAGTTGAAAGTCAGTTTGCTCCTCTTTTTACGCGCGATTTCTTTACCCAGATGTCTCAATACGTCCGCATAGTACGTAACGTTTATGGTATGACCTTGCTCAAGATAATCATGATAATCCCCTAGCTATCCCAAAACAATTGAAGCCATCATCATCCCTGCTGATGGCACCCTCTTGAATTTCTTCGAAGGGGGTGAGCCAGTATGCTTCAACTGCATGCTCTGTTTTTTTTTTGTTGTTTTTTTTTATTCTGGATTGAAGTGATGAACCCATGTTTCATCCTGAGTTACAATCCGGTAGATAAAATCAGGTTCATCCTCGTAGCGAGACAAAATATATCTTGAAATGTCAAGCCCGGTTCGTTTCTGGTCGTCAGTCAACAGTCTGGTGACCCACCTAGCGGAAATCTTTGACATGCCAAAGACATCGGTCAGAATTGTCTTAACTGAACCAAAGCTGATACCCACTTCCCTAGCAATGCTTCGCAGGTCTCGCCTTCTGTCGCACATGACCAGATGGTGCACAGCTTCGGCAGTTTCATCATTGGTGCCCAGGCCGCTCATCATCTCCAATACTCTCAATGCCCCTATAAAATTCAGCTGGCCCGCCTTTCACTAACGTTCTAAAACTGAGAAAAATTTCAACTTAAGATTGTCTCAATATTGACTGAGATTCTTACTCACCTGAGAAAAATCTCAAGTTGGCTTTCACTAAACTTTTTCTCAACATTTGAGAATTTTCTCAACCGATACTGATTTTTTTTCTCAAGACATAAGCGGCTATCTTAGTGTGCATAGTTGGTGGGCTTCTTTGACTATAAGTTTTCCTTTCGAAGTATATAGTTGCTATTTTGATGAAAGATGACGCAACAGGGAAATGTTTTGTATATTTATTTCATTAAGTAGATGTATATTTTAGTTTTTTTATTTTCAAACGAGAAACAGCAATAACAACAAAACACACCAAGAAGCAATTGCAAATGTGTAAATATTTGAATGCGTATGAAAATAATTTATAACGAATGAATGTAGATCTACATATTTTTTGCAAACAGTATTTTAAAGAAAATGAAACAAAATTCAATCAATTATTATAGGATGATTATTGTGACGTCATAATCTCATGACGTCATGAATTAGAGCTCATGATGCACCCACAATAATCATTCAATATATCTACTAAATATATGAAATTAATAGGAACTTCATTTGCCAAAAAAGGTCAAATTATGTTTATTTTTCAAAATAACCATGCAGAAAGTAAAAATACCTCTAAGAATAATAATTTAGCTTCACTGAGACATAATCTGAGACAACCAGACCTTGTCTCAATATATCTGAGATATAGTTCTCAATATTTCTTAGTGAAAGCCGAACTGAGAAAAATCTCAATCTCAATTTCTCAGTTGAGAAAAATCTCAGATTTGAGCTGAGATTTTGACTTTGAGAACGTTAGTGAAAGCCGGGCCTGCCCTTTGTTCACAGTGCTATATGAAGGGGACTCCTTCCCAAGTGTATCCATGAAATCTTCATGGATGTCCTTGGGTGACAGAAGTACTTAATGACGGCTCTGATTTCAACTTTCTCCATTTAGTATAAATGACACACCCCTCTACTGATGAAAGTGCGTTTTAGGTTACTTATCCTGTGTAAAACCGCGTGTAACTCGGTCAGTTATCTTCAATAAGAAATCGGCATCGACGTATCGTATGTAAATGTCAGTGTAGTGGCTAGAAGTATATCGGGATGAGAACCTTTTGATCATACCTCGTAAGTAAGAAACAAGAGAGGTCATGATGGCCCTGAGTCGCTCACCAGAAACAACTGTTCTGGGTTAGAAATTATTTTTCGAATTAACTTGCCGAAGTCAAGTTCAGCTCAACTTTAACTTGCCCCTCTAGTTATATACTTTCACAACACTGATTTTTTTTTTATTTGTATCTTCCTAGATTAGTACAAATGTGCTAATTTGACTTTTTGGTGTCCTAAAAAATTTAGTCTCGTCGCATTTTACAATGGGATTTACCTTTTAGTATGCTGAATCCGATAAGGTGATATTAAACTAAAAATCTTGATCTTGACCATTGAAATGGCCAAATTTCTTTATCATAAATGGATGATATACCAAATAAAACTTTAATGAAAGGAAAAGCCTGAAATTTGTCACAAAGCATGTTTAGGTAAAAACAAATTAGACACAAAAACATAATTTTAAAAAAGCCAATCCAATATTGCCGAAAAAATCCAAGATGGCGGACAATTTCGTAAGGCCATTATAGGAACCGCCAAATTCTTTATCATAAATGGATGATATATCAAAAAAACTTTAATTTAAAGATAGGAAAAACCTGAAATTTGTCACAAAGCAAGTTAAGGTAAACACAAATTAGACACCAAAAATTAAAAAAAAAACAATCCAATATGGCCGAAAAATCCAAGATGGCGGACATTTTTCAATATATTAGTAGGCCAATATATTAGTAATATAGAAGTAATATTATAGTTAATACTGAATATTCTAAGGCATTTAAACATAAGAGACTAGAATGTAAGAGATAAAATTTCTAGAAAGTCCCTACTCCTTTGAACCATCACTTTATTTAGGGTTTACGAAGTGAACACTACATTCGTCCATGCCCTATCTGCCCAATATATAGAGATTTCATGTATTTTATCTGGCACTCTATGCAAGCATATAGAGTGGCTACTCAGATTCGTACTTATATTTGCATAGCACTATATGCCAGTATTTCTTTCAACAAGGTTTTTAACCTTGACTAACCACCTGAGAAATTTCTAAATAGTTTACTCTTACTCCTCAGAGCTGCCCAATGCAATTCACTTATTGCGATATTAAAATTCAGAAAATATTAAGTAAGATGATTAATATTGTCATTAGAAATTTAAAACCAGCTTAGATCTAATTTTGCTTCACTAAATGATTTCTTATTACTGTCAAACAACCCTATCCAGTCAGTTGTCAATGAATGAGGCTTCATCTTGAGACTAATGCATCACCTAAATAATCATATACATATCTACCAGCTGAACTGCAGGAGCATCTAGAGTATTATATTTTGATCCCAGTAAAAATGCCCTATCCAGCGACTTACAAATTTTATTTATTGACCCATAAGCAACAATATTAGGGAAAAGCTGTGTTACTATGATGTCAATAATTGGAGTTTGTTTTCATAATGACATTGTTATAAAGCTAAAGAATTCAAGCTAAATAACAGTACAATCATGAAAACCTTTAATTATTATAAATAACGAAATGGCATTGGATTTTTCAATGTTAAGCATGAGCTTCTAATGGCCATTTCAAACAGTCAGTTAGAATGTCTGAATCTTATAACGGCCGACTTTTCTCGTTATGGATGTGTTTTTTTCATAATGGCTGATACTACGTCATCGCGCACCTGCTAAATGCTCCCACTTGGATCATTCTTTCGTCGGCTCGAAGGTAAAATGCCATTTTATTATAAGAAAACGTAAGGGTATCAAAACATCAAATAGCGCACCAAAGAATGGCTATAGTTCTTGAGATAATTGTTAAAAAAGTTTATAGATTCATTGCCTAGTTTAGGCCTGAAAACGGGATAAGTGTTTTTTTTTATCTGAATGCTCCCACTCGGACTTTTCCCGAAACATATAAGAAATGAGGTTGAAAACCTTCTTAAAAAATTATTTTTAACGTACCGGAACATAAACCGAGTCATGTTTACACATTTTCTCTAGATTGGTTTCAATTATTTCTATTCAAAGTCAGTTTTTATTAATTATTTTTATAAAAATGAAAAATGCTCTCACTCGGACTCGATTTCAGAGATGCTCCCACTCGGACCTAAATATATACAGATTTCGTAAAGCACATTGCTGTGTTAAGATATTATTATTTCTTAATATTATCTTTATATTCAAGTTCATATATTCATATAATCAGTTAGAATTCAATGAAACAGCATCTTTAAAATACGATACTAATATTTAGATCACTAAAGTTTTGACATATTATACAATCTCGTAAATATGTCTACTTTGAGGATCA